TATATTTAACTGACAAGGGAGAGGGAGTCGGCGGTTCACAGAAAAATAGAGAGAGAGAGATATGTGTTTGTAGGGTTGTGTAGAGGATGTTGTTATTCCCGTTACACAATACCTTTATTTATAGTAATAAGAGAGAGAAGAAATCCTTCTCCTCCAAGGAATACAAGTCCTAATAGGGAAGAATAACTAGAATCAAATCTAACTAGGATTTACACAATCACACTTAAATAAAAAGTTTATAACATTTACAAGCTTTCTGGAAATTTACAAATGGTTTCTGGGTTATAAGGCTATGGGTATTAGTTTTTTCGGTTCGTCCCTGGCTAGTCCTTCTTCATACTTATATGTAAATACACACACACACACATTGTTGACTTGTATAATTTCCTAGTTTAGGATGGATCTCGTGTAATCTGGAGAAATTTCTTTATAATCTCCTGTAATTATTCTTCCCTATTTAGTTAGAATTAAGATTGTATATTATACCTCTTCCTAAGAAAAATAAACAGATCATTCAAAGTATTCTCTTCTCACACGTTTATACACGTGATAAACAGCGCATGCCCAGATGCTCTTCTTGATGTTTGCATGATAACTTTTCTCTATGCATGTTTTTCTGATATGTATGGCTTCACATGAAGACTGGTTTCCAGCTGCTACCGTTGTTGAAGTTATAATTATGTTTCACGTGAGGAAGCAGCACATCCAAAGCCTTTGTGCGACATCAATTTTAAAGACTTCCAAAGAATCTGCATGAGAAGATTTTGGTATCTTCTTCTCCTCCCCCTCCTCCTCTCTCTCTCTCTCTCTCTCTCTCTCTCTCTCTCTCTCTCTTCGGTAGTTTGGACTTATGTGCTGCACAGCACATCTGGTCTGTAGATTATATCAGAGAAACTTTTTCAACAGCCGTTGAGATCGATCTGACGGTTAGAAATGAAATGCGTATTTAAGGACCTCAGCAAGCAGCGTTCTTGAAAGGCAGACGGATTTCTGATTGCATTGGGTTTAGTTTCAGAAGACTTCAATATTATCGACAAAAAAACTTATGGCGGTAATGAGGGGATCAAAGTTGATATCGCTAGAGCATCTCTAATGGGAGTCCTTATTTAGGGACTCCTATCATCACTTTTAAGTATACTCATGTAAAGACTTAAAAGGGAATTTTTGTATCCCTAAATGAATATTGCCTCCAATGAGAGAGTCCTTAAAGTTGAATCCATAAATTTGAGGTTTTACAATTTTATGTGATAATTTGATTAGGTGCATATTTTTTGTTTATGTTAACATTACGTTCTCGTAAAATATTTTTGTGAACATTTTAACAAAAAAAAAATTTCAAATTCTGACACTAATTTTTTTCTTCACAAAAACATAACTAGAATGAGTGAATTGAGTACGAGTGAATTGAGTACGAGTGAACTAAGTATAGGAGATGAAGTTGTTACAATTTGGTATTTATAGGAATGATGAGAGAACAAAATGAAAGAGTAACCCAAATTGAAAATATTAATATTTCAACATATGCATGTGGATACATACACCAAGTATCCAGCGAGTCTCTATATTTTAGGGACTCACTTTCCGATCCATTAAAGATTCATTTTGTCCTTATATTTGTTTTATACTCATTTTATATGATAATTGTCCCTATACAGGGTCTCCACTGGAGATATGCTCTAAGGCATATGATACTTTGAACTGGAACTTTCTTCTCTGTGTTGTCTAGTTTTGATTTCCTTCGTATTTTTTGTGACCGCGTGCATACATTGTTATAGTCAGCTCATCTTTCGGTTTTGGTAAATGGCACTCCGTAAAGATTTTTTTCTTGTTCAAAAGGTGTGTGTCAGGGCGATCCTCTATCTTCACTTCTTTTTTGTCTGACTAAAGAACCTCTAAGCAGAGGTTTAATTTTATTGTACTCTACTGAGCAAAATTCTTCCATTTCGGCATTAAGGGGTTGTCGTCCTCCAACTCATGTGCTATATGTAAATGATCTTTTTATATTTTTGTCGTGGAAACATTTGATCTCTTCGTTCTTTTCGGGATTTCACAAATTAGTATGGTCGTACTTCTAGACATTAATGCCAATAAAAGCACTTTTTATCTTGGGTCCACTTCTCATGGTAAGCCTCAAGTTGAGAGATATCTTAGTTTTCGGTTAGGTATGGTTCCATTCACTTATCTTGGAGATCTATTTTTAAACCAAGAAGGGTTCACTTTTACGCTTGGTAGGCTAAGGCTTGTCTTTCAGGTGGAAAGGTATACTTCTGTATGGCAGGGAGTGTTCAGTTAGTGCAATCTGTTTACCAAAATTTGTTTCTACATAGTTTTTCAGTTTATCAGTGGCCAACTAGTCTATTGAAGCATCTTTTTTTCTTTTTTGGTGCCCGTAATTTTATTTGGTCTGGGGATTTAGTTTTCTGTAAGTTAGTTATTGTTGCTTGGTATATGGTGTGTGGGTCTAAGAGGTAAGATGGGCTTGGTGTGCGTGATTTGTCTACTTTGAACTTGACAACGTTACTTGGTTTTGTTTGGGAGGCTTTGCAATCTTCTTCTTTGTGGGGTTATTTTGCTTGTCAACGCTTTCCTCTTGCGTTTTATAAAAAACAAGATGTTTACTTGCGATCTTCAATAAGGCATGGTTTGAAGCGTGCTATTTCTTTTTTGCATAAGCATAGTCATTAGATTATTGGTGATGAAAGGTTAGTTTCTTTCTTGTTTGATAAATGGTTGGAGCAACCGATTATTTAACCCTTCTTTATCTCTAGTAATTTCTCCTATTAATCTTCCTCGAGTACCTGATTAATGTTATTCAAATTCAGAGTTGGGGCTAAGGTTATATAGCGACATTTCATCCCTCCTTGGCTTTCTATTTTGGTTCGGAGACTTTTTCATATTAAGCTTCCCACTTATGAGACACTCATGTATAGAGCCACCTTGGGTCCAGCAGGGGCGAATGCCCTCACTCGGTTTTTTTTTGGGAAAAACAGCACTCTTTCAATTGCTTGTGACATTAGCATTAACATTTTTATGTGCTGCTACCATCTTGAAAGAGCATTTCTGATCATGAAATTTATGAAGATTGATTGAGAATTTGGTAGGAGATCAATGAATGAATGATAACATGATTATTTTTATAGAGAGAGATATTTGATGGTATTGGTAATGAAATTGTTATGCAACACTTTCAATACATGAAAACTCGTAGATGGATATTGTAATATGTTGTACGAAAAACCTTATGAATTAATATAGAAGTGTTTTGTTTAGTACATTCTTGATCTTTTTAATTGTGACTTTGTTGTTTGAGAATGCTCCTATCCATGCAGATCTCTGGCTTCGTCCTTGGATACACTTCATTGTAGTTGTGTTTATTTGGCTTCTTTTCCGTTTATGTTGTGGTTCAAAGGAATTTACTGCTTATCTTTCTTTATCGAAGCAACTTTGGACATGGTTGGCTTGTTAGTTTGTACTTCTCTGCCCTTTTCTGATTTAGTGACGATGTTTTGGGACACATCTGTGGGTAAGCCTTTTGTCTCGTCAGTTACATAATCTTTGGATTTTAACGGGACTTTTCGCCATTTCTATCATATGAAAAGCACACAATAAGTCTATTTTTGAGAACCGAACAATTTCTTTACATCACTTATGTATGTCCATTAAATCTAGGATTGTTCATCTTGGAAAGTTTGTTCATTGATGCTCTCAAGGTTTGGGTATTTGTGTAACTTGCTCTATGAGTATTAGACATATCCCTTGCAAGGCACCTAATATATGTTCCTTGTTTTGGTCTTCACCTTGGTTTTCATTTTTTAAGCTTTACACTGATGGCTTGTCTAAAGAAAATCATGGTCATGTTGTGAGGGAGTTTTTAGGGATTGGCATGGTCAGTTTCTTGGATGATTTTGTCAAGGTATTGGTCATCAGAACTATGCAAAGTTATCAGCAGTTATTATGGGTGTCGAATTTGCTACGGGATGGACTATGCTTTGGTTTGAAAGTAATTCTGCTAGTGCTCTTTCTTGTCTCCGTTCGAATGATCACTTGTTTGGCTCGCATTTGAGAGATGAATTTTTATTGCTAACATTTATTGAGAAAGGTATGTGGTTGTTGATAGTTTTACTAAAATGAGTTTATCTCCCTCAAACTTGGTCTGGCATGACTTCCCTCCGTCGGCAGTCTTACCTCTTTGCATTTGGATTTCCTTGGCTTGGCTGGTTTTCATTTTTAGATTAGTGTGCGTCACAACTTTGAGGTTAATTAGTCAAACTTTCCTAATGTGTGCTTTTATTTTTCTTGGTAACAAATTGGTTTTGGTGTTTTCAAGCTTGTTTTGCAGGCTTATTCATTTTAGCTTGTACTTTAAGGGACCGAGGTTTTATGTCCCGGGTATTCCTTTCACTTGTTAGTGAAAAAGTTTAGGTTTAATTCTTATCAAAAGCAAATTCGAATCAAATTATTATAGGTAGCTAATTATAAAACTTAACCTGCTTTCCCACTCTTTAATATAACTAATATTGTATGTATTAAAAAAAGATTAGATGTGAAGTCGCAATACTTGCATGTCTCATACATGTCTACGTGTTGTCTTAGTCGAATAATATTATCATGTATAGAAGTGTGAACACTGTGGTTTGTGGGGAATCGGATACATGGACTCGGAGTGCATGCATGCAAAAGAAAACTTCTGGAGACAAAAAATGTAAGCATAATATTATTGTAAGATACAAAGCAATCCATTTCAGTAAAAAGATTTAAAGCGTTAACCTCTGATTAATGTTTACAAACTGATAGCTAGCATTAAAGCCAGCAAAATCACGAAGAAGCTAATAAAAGAAGTTAAGAAAATTAAATAATATATAGTCTTCTTAAGAATCTAGAGATGATTAATCAAAAAGGGAAATAATAGTCTTGGTTTCTCTTTTCGGCCTCCCCCGCGCGCCATCGGTTCTGGCATACTGCTATGGTGGTTGTGGTGGTAGTGCCGTACATTTGTAATCTCATCCACGACTGCCATTGGATGCTTCTTCTCCATAAGCATTATATTCATCATAACTAAACCAAGACTCCACATCCTCAGAACTGAAAATAAAAACCACAAAATAGTTATGAGCAAACACAAACCACGCACAAAACAAAATAAAAACAAAAACAAAAACAAGAAAAATACTACTTACTCATGGCGGTCCTCGTCGTTTTGGTCAAGACTGAAGTTGGTTTGTGATGACGATGGAGGCCAACTGTGTGTTTGCGGTTCAATAGGGCTTCTTTTGGCAATTAACTGTTTGTAGTGAGCATGGTCGAGAGTGTACTGAACGGTTGAGTTTGAACTGATACCATAGAATTTAAGGTCGCGGTGATCTTCAAGTGGTTTTCCATTGAAAATTAGATTTAGGTGGTCAGTGGATGTAAGGTCGGGTATAATTTGGCCTTTCTGAATCGTAGTTTTGATGTCAAGCACATTGTCATAGCGGGACGCTGTTAAACTGAAGTAGACGGAGGAGGGTGCACTGCTAAAATATAAAAGCAACATTGTGAAATCAATAAACCCTTAATTCACAAATACTTAAGCGATGGAAGCACGAAATTTGGATAATCTAGAGTGGTAGAAATATAGAACAATGTTGCAGGCTCGTTGAATAATTTTGTTTGTTGTTCTATAAGCCTAGAAGGCACTATAGGATTTGTTTATATAGAGCTCCTGGCCGAGTACTTTCCTTGTTGACCAAGGGAAAACCCTTCCCTTCTTGTTCAATAATTTCCTAAGCAGTAAAGGACGTGAATTGCTCAATAAGAGTTTTAATTCCCCCAAAAAAGGAGAACAAAAAAAGAAAGTTCGACATACCTTTTTTCTGGAGCCAATGACTATCCATAATCATTACGTACCTTGACACCAAAGAGATGAGTTCGACTCAAATTTTGTCATGAGACCGCAACGAGATATCATTGAAAAGTATAAAAAGAAAGTACAGAGATTTGATTTAATTAGGGAAATTATTTTGAGGTAGATTTAGGAAAGGATCCTCTCCGGATCCCTTTCACCAAGTCCACTCATCCGAACCATTGAAATTGATCCAACAACTACATATAGGGGGGCTTCTTGAAAGTTATAATAATTTTAACCGTTTAATTAAATTTCAATAGCCCAGATGAGTGGACTTGGTGGACTTGGTGGAAGGAATCCGAAGATGATTCCTTTCCGTAGATTTAATTAGGGGTTTAACATCATTTTTACTTTAAGATTTAGGTTTTCTTGTCCTTGTGGGCTAAGGAGTGTTATGACTTATTTTCTAGTATTACTTCTTCGTACGCTTATGAATACCTCCTTGTGGAGAAGATTAAGGACTTGTTTGAATGTGCTTTTAAAATTACTGAAAACGCTTTTGGAGAAAATATTTTTGGGTTCTAGAAGCACTTGAAGTGTTTTCTACAAGAAGCACCAGTTATGCTCTTCTTCCAAGAAGCGCTTTAAGTGTTTTTTAAGATTTACTGCATTTTTACTAAGGATTGTTTCTAAAAATATTTTCACCAAAAATGCTTTCAGTCATTTAAAAGCACATCCAAACGAGCTCTAAAACATTCCGAAGTTTGTGAGATTAATAGAGAATTTTAAATTTATCCTAAACCATTTAGAGGTATTGAATGAAAAATTTGAATACCTACGTAGGAACTCGATCTTATTGGATGTACGTTTGGATCTTCATTAATTGATGTTGATGAAGCCCTAGCAGGGGCAGGAGAAATTTTTAGTTGTGACGGGAATATGGATGGTACACCATGTGTTTTTATGCAAGTGGTATAAAATTTTAATTTTTAAATTATTAACTTTTTAACACAATTAAAGAGATAAAAGGAAAACAGTTCCATGCTCCGACGAGGGAGGAACAAAATTAAAGAAAGGGACTGTGACCTATCGATTAGTTGAATGAATGGGATTCAATTCAAGGACTTGATTGGATGAACTAATGCGTTATTTATATGCTGTGACACAACACAAATAATGAACACTTTGCCTCGATGTCATGATTTTATTTCAATGGACATGACTATCAGTAAATATATATTGAATGATGAGTTCAAAACCAATTTATTCTTTCACACTTAATATAAAAATACCGGCATATTAAAAAGGCATGACCCTCTTAGGTCAATCTCCAATGCATCTGAAAATTGGAACTCAAAAGTATATGTCTAAATCTCTATAATCCACCGGAGAGTAATTAACTCACATATAATTAAGGGTTATTTTTAGCTACGTCTTTGGAAGTCAAATTTAATCTCATTTTACTTCATGTAACTCAAAAGTCGCATTCATTCCCTGAAACTCAAAGCTCGCATCACGTTACCCCTGGATCTCGATTTTCATCCCATTTTGCCCCTTGAAACTTAAAAGTCATTTCTATAAAACTCAAAATTCGCTTCCCATTACCTTAGATATGTTAATTTTCTATTTTTTTTTTATCTCTTCATTTCTTTTAAACTAAATATTCTCTGACTGTTGAATGTTAATGTATAATGGAGATTTATAATCAAATTTAGCACATGTGATATAGTCTTATTGGGTGTTGTGCCTCACATGTTTCAGGAGGCAACCAATAAGTTTCAAGAAGAAGAAAGAGCCTTCAAGTCACAATGGAACAAATTTTGAGTTTCAAGGAATAAAGTTGTGACTTTTGAGTTATATAGGGCAAAGTGAGATCAAAATAGAATTCCAAAAAGTGTAACTAAAAGTAAACCTATAATTAAGTTGACTAGGGTGAGATCCCAAATTCCTGACGAAGTTTGAAATTTCACTTGTTTATAAAGTTTTTGGGGTAGAATTTGCGGCAAATAAATGTTTGTAATTCCTTCATCCGATTGATATAAATATAAGGCATTCAATCATTTCTTCAAAATTTATTTTCAAGTTCTTTACCCAATGATACTTTTCAATAAAATATTCTGGGACTCAATTTGCTAACTTCAATTTGGTAATTGGGTTCCTATCTCTGTTTTTTTTTTTTTTTTTTTTTTTGGTTAATACATCGATATTTTTACATTAAGGAGAGAAGAGTTCAACTAAGTCATACAATAGGTAACTTAACTAGGTTGCTACCTCTGTTGTAGATACATTTTTTCTACCTGGCATGGCAAATCTTACTTTACAACCCAATTGCTACCTCCCTTGAGATGCTATTAGGTAATATCATTCCTCTTAGATTGGTCAAGTTGTCCCTATCTCAGGTATGATATTTCACACCGATCCAATATTGGAACGATATGAATGTGATTGTAATTGTAATTTCCTCCAATACAATTTATCCTAGAAAAAAGACGGTGGGGTGGGAAAGTTAAGAGAGAGTTAAGGAAAGTGTTAATTTTGGACTTCAATCCTAGGACTTCACCACAGAGGTTTAAATCCCTTATTTTTTTATTTTTATTTTTTCATATAAAGGCTATCTTCCAATTATCTTATCACATGAGGACCATTAATCCAATTTAGCCTTAGAGTAGAGATCCTTTCTGGAGCTCAAGACCAAGAAATTTAAACCACTTAAGTTGAATCTAACGTCCGTATTAACTTATTCCACTAGCCCACCTGACACAAGTTAAGGACTCTAATTTCTCTTTCACACAAACCAATGCCTCAAATTTCCTCGTCCTTAGGTTCCGAACAGCAAGGTTCGGAGAGGATCCAAAGAGCTTTTCTTTTTGTTGGTTGACAACGGGGCAAAAGCCCGAAAGAAAAGGAAAGATTACATAGAATGTCAAGAGGCCACGAGACCCTAATTATATCATGCAATCAGCAACCGACAACAAGAAGGAGGCGATTGCTAAAAAAAGCTTAGACCCAAACTACATGACAAAACCCAAACGAGCTAAATTGTCAGCAACAAAATTCTTTTCATGACAAATATAATGAATTATACAAGACCAACTTTGGTGCATAAGGGCATGACAATTCATTAATAAACTTCCCAAAGGGAGATTGTCCACTTTTACATTTAAAATCAACTAGTACTACAAGTGCACAATCAGATTCCACCATAATTTTCTTAATTCCATTATTCCATGCAAGTCGCAGCTTAATTAAAATACCCTAAACTTTAGCACAAAGAATCTCACATCGACCAAGATTAGCGCAAAAAGCCAGAAACCCCAGTGCCCCCAACGAGTTTCTTCGGACACCGCCAGTACCAATGAAATTGGTCTCCCCTTGCAACACCCTTTAACATTAAGCTTTACCAAACCGTCAAGACGAGGTTCCCAATGAAAAAAAAGCATGTGTTCGAAGGAGCTTTATGGAGAAAACCATCTTCGCCAGAAGCCAATCTTTTAAGTAGTAATAATAACAGATTTGGATCATTAGGGAGAGCAAATCCTAGTCAAAAACACTTTTGTTTCGCCAGTGCCACAAGAACCAAGAAGTGATGCAAAAAATAGGTCTCCATTCCAAATTATCCAAGACTAATATTCTAGAAGAAAGATTATTCTGGAGCCAATTACTAGAACACGCATTAGTAAAAAATTGATCAAGAACATGGAAACTTCTCCAAACCTTAACAACAGAGGAGCAATCTCTGAAGACATGAATAATTGATTCAAATCACCATCACATCTGCTGCATGAAGGATCCGTAGCCAACCCCATCTAACTTGTTTAGAATTTTATCCACAATTATTTTAGGAAAGAAATAGAGCAAATGTTTTGTATCCCAATTCCCACCATAGCAAAAATCAGCCATATAAGACGTAAGCATAGTTGGCAGCAGTCGTTGAAGAGAAAATTTTAGAAGAGGCCAACAATTTGACCAGTAGTCAGTCCAAAATTTAATATTCTCACCAGATCCGATACGCCAAACCAAAGTTTTTTCCAACAACTGAGCACCATCAATGAAGCATTTCCAAGTAACATTAGCGCCCTTCCACAGAGCAGTATTTATAAACAAATGTTTATTCTGTCCAACTATATATTTATCACATAACTAATGCACCCAAAGTCCATCATCCTGTTGAATCACCCTCCAAGAATTCTTAGCAAGCATGGCAGAGTTCAACTAATGTTTCCAGTTCACTTTCTGCCTTGCTAGTGAGAGTGTGTGAGCTTTCCAAGCAGCAAGTCGTTTTTGGGTTCGTTCTGCCAAGTCCTTGTAAGTCGTCATCGTTTCTACTTCTCAAAACTTCAACTTTTCTTTATTTTTTCCAGCCGTTCGATTCTCTGAAGTCAATCCAGACCATCCAAATGATTGCCGGCCTAAGTTTACACACATTCTGGTAGGCAAAGAAGCAAAGCTCATCACTTTGCCTCCTTGTACGTAATGATTGCCGACTTGCAGTTCAGAGCAAGCAAGGTGGGAACTTTCTGAACAAATAAAGTTTGAGAGAGAGAGAAGCGCGAAGCTTTAGCTTTTGAAGAGAGAGATGAGAGGCTTTAGCTATTGAAGAGAGAGAGAGAGAGAGAGCTTTGGCTTTTGAAAAGGAGAGAGAGAAGCTTGTCGAGAAATGGAGGGCAGCAGTAGTAGTAAGAGTGGCGTTGTGGTGGTGGCCAATGAGAGAAGGCCAAGTGGGGGGAATCCGAATCAAGAATCCTTTTACTTTGAAACTGGGTCAAGTATTTACGGGCTTTGGCGTAGGCTGCGGTGTTGGTATCGGAGTTGGCCGCCCTATAAATCTAGGTACTCTCTCTCTCTCGGACACGTACAGCTTCTCTCTCAAATCTAATTTCATATGGAAGATGGACTTGGGGCGGCTCTTCAAACCCAAAAATGGTGAAACCCATCAGACACAAGTTGCTAAGAAACCATGTATTACTTCCCAATTTCTCTGCATTGCATTTGTTGATTGTTTTCAGAAGTTGGGTCTGTTTGGTTGCTGAGAAAATGTAGGAATTTCTACGAAGTTGTCTTTATCAATGTGTAATCACAAGTTGTTTTGAATCTTCCCCTGGAAATTGACTTCACTTTATTTTGCTCTACAAATTCATTTTTGAACTTGGTTGCATTCAAAAAAAACGAGTTATTCCATCATTGTTAAACTACCAGGCTATTAGCATTTAGTATCTTGAAATATTGAAGCCGGTTTTTCGTTGTCATCCATTGCAGTTGCTTCAGTTTCTAGGGGGATTAATCAATAATGATTGCTTCGTTATGAAAACAACGGTGTTCTTAAATCTTAAGGAAGTTTTAGGTACTCTGCAGGGAAGTTGGTTTGGATTGGTGTTTATGTGGTCCTCTGGTACTTATCTGGTAGTGACGAGTTATAAGACTTCTTTAATTGTTGCCTAAGTAACTATGGAATGGTAAAGTTGCGTATGCTGAACCGGTAGGGAGAGACAGGTGATTGTGTTTAGAGGAATAAGAGTCCGTGTCCATGATCTGCTGGAAAATTTTATTTTGAGTTGCCTACTACTAGCTCTTTTTAAACAAGGTTCCCTTAGCCCTTAAAAAGGAAGCTGGCATATTTTAAGGTTGTCCTGGAATTGCTAACTCTTGTATGGTGTACCGATCAAAATACAAACTCCAGGACAAATGAGGATTATATCAAAATGTGCAACCAGAGTTGTATGAGAAAGTTAACATTAATCGGATAGGTAGACTAGAATTGCATGTAATTTCTGAAAACCTGTACATCTCCTTAATCCTGTAACCCTGTTTGAATTCAGGGAGGCGTATCCCCTCCAAATTATTTTGGGAATCAAACAAAGACAAAAAAATATATAGACTCACTGCCCCCTAGATTATTTTAGATCTCTGCAACTAATCATTGAAGGGCTGATATTGCTACTGTTGGCTTTTACTCATCCTTAGAAAATTTAGTGCATTGTTCTAAATTTTATATATTTTTGTTTAGTTTTTATTCTATGAAGTGCATTGAAGGGCTGATATTGCTACTGTTGGCTGTTACCATGTAGCAGGTGCAATACCAGCACTGAATCAAGTCATGGGTGCTACAAGAGGTGCCACTGATGCATTATCTGGTGTTAGCAGGCATGTAAACAACACTGTAAGTCAAATATATTCGTCTTTTCTTTTTTTCAGTTCTCTGAGTGTCCCTGTCATTGCCATGAAAAGGGAAAGATCAAATGAGTCGTATACTTACAGACTTCCCCGTTCTCTATCCCTGTTTCTCGTTTTCCAGTTGAGGAAGGTGGGAGCCAAGAACATTGAAGCAGGGATTGGATGTGGAGTTGGTATTGGCCATGGTTTTGGAGTTGGTATGTCATTTCATGTGTTTCAATGATGTTCAGTAATATGTTCTGCTTCATGTTTTTCCATTTTCTGATGCACTATTATGGAGACTAATGTTTACATGTTCCTGGTGAAACCTATGGTTGTCAAGCAGTTTGAGTTCATGAAATGCATTCTGATAGCTGGTGCTTGTGTCGCCTAATTTCTATCAGAAAATTTTGTGGGCTATGTGTCGCCGAATTTCTATTTCAAAATTTTGTAATGTAAAGAAATTTGCTCTTCATGTTTTAGTAGTACACTTTCATGAGCAATATGTCATGAAATTATATTTTTCTGGATAACAATGTTTGTTTTCAATAGCTGAATTATTGACTGCCGATTGCAGGCCTTGCTCCGAAGCCAGGACTGTTGCAGCAAATTCAATTTCGTTTTGTAGTAAGTATTAGTTTCTCTTGTCAGGTGTTGTTGCCTTTTACAGGCTACTGATGCATAGAACTCTGTATTCTCTAGCAAGGTATGACAAAGATGATGATGAAGTTTGGGATTTTTCCCAATTTACCCATTGGTCAAGCTGCCCTCCCAAGTTCCTTGCAAGGTGCCATGGGAACTTTAAATGACCTGAGCCAAAATAAAATGGGAAGTAACACGCAGTTGTCAACAAAACTAACAGACTACACATCTCAAGGCTTGCCTGGATATGGACGTAACAGGTGCTGGTTCTCCAGTTGATACACCTTTTGGTAGTCGAATAGAAAATGTTCTCAGCAGTTTTCAGAATCCACTTCTGAAGGGAAAGGACAGTGAACAGAATGAAGGGGTATGTAACACATAGAACATGTTTATTCGTAAGTTTGCTTACTTAGAAGATTATTTATGATTTTACAATCATCAGAGGTTTAATACACTTCTAACGACTTAAACTGCATACGTGCTAGTGTATGCAGTATAACAGTCACTAGTTGGGTTTAGTTCTAACAATAATCCCTAGAGCTGTGGTTTCTGTGAAAGTTTTACTTAATGACGATATAAGTGCTATTGTAATTACTTATCTGCCTAAGAGAATGTTCAAAAGTGTAGAACTGCATATGTGCATTTGACGGACAGTTCAACTGAACTCTCCAACGACCTATGTTCCCATGATTCATTACTCTCTCTCTCTCTCATGTTGGTGGTTGAGTGGTAGTTTTCGCACCTGAGCTGATCCCTCGTGTTCTAATGTTTATTGTGGTTAATCTAATTCTTGATTTTACCTGTGTAGGCTGGATGCGTGAGGTCGGAGGAAAAAAATCCTTCAAATGGTAATGTCTAGTATCGCTGTTTGTTACCTTTGCTTTTTATTTATTTATATAAATCAAAATGGCAAACTGAAATTGCCTATGCGTCAGATATTGAAACACCAGCAAGTCATTGAAGAGCTCGCGGAGGAGAACGAGAAGCTTCGCCAAGTACTAGTGGAAGACCTGAAAGTATCACCTAGCAAGCTGCAAGCAAGTTATTCAAGTAAAAACACATCTCCGTGTACAGATTGTTTCAAGTGTCGAAGAAAACAAAGGAGAAAATAGATGAAGCATAAGGATTCTGTTAGATAGCATTCAAGCGCAATGACAACAACGAAGGGTATTAACCGACGCCCCTTTGACCGGAGTTTGATTGCTCTGCTTACACGGCCGGACACCCTAAGGAGCATCATCTGGATCAGTGGCTTACAATTTACAAGCTAATCAAAGAAACCATGCAAGTAGAATCCAAGTTGCCTTACAGAGAGAGGCATTACACATAGAAACCAGTTGAGGTGAGGTGCCCTGGTTAGTTTTAGACATAAGTTTAGACACAACTATTAGGCCATTGGATCACTATCAACGGATGAGATTGAATCTGACATGGCAGGTTTAATTTACATTTTAAATAACTAAACTTTGAAATAATAGATCAAACATGTCATGTTATTAAGAATACTTGGAAATGTTATTGAGAAGAAAGAATGTTAACCAAACATCTCTGTTGTTCAAGGGTTTAATGAAAACAGGAAATCTAGGCCAAAGTGATTTCCCCATTTTTTAGGCTTAATTAAGGCAATATTGATGCATAAGGATCCGAGCTTATGATGGCCATAACTCATTAGGTTATGACACACACACACATGTATATATACATGTGTGTGTGTGCGTGCGCGTGTGTGTGCATATGTGTGCATATATGTGTGTGTATGTATGTATGTATGTATGTATGTATGTATAAGGGTCATGTTGGTTCTACACGCTACAAATACAATGTTTCCCCATTACAAAGGCAGATTGAGGAGGGAGGGGTAGCAGAGCTGCATTCGCATAGGCCCCTAATTTGAAGGGGTTCTAAAAAAAATTTGCTATCTAATATTTTTATGTAAAGATTCTATTCTCGTCAAATACGAATTTAAATCACAATAGTTAATTCATTGTAAGGCTTAGTCCACTCATGCATCCCTTTTAGTGTAGATAATATCGTTTGTTAAAAAAAAATTATTTTTATGTAATAATGTTATATATATATATATATATATATAATTTGCTTTTATTAGCACTTCATAAATTCATTATGCACTTCTTATAAGTATAAATTTTTCTTTCCAAATATTAAAATTTGGAGCGCACGATGAGATATTTGAATTGCTAACAACAACACTCTAAATTTATTTATTTATTCAATTCTATTTTATAATAATGCTTTTATTCAAGTGAAACTTTAAAGTTAGAGATTTTGAATGCTTTTTTTATTTTTTTTTATTTTTTTTTCTGGTTTGGCTGATTAAAATTGAATTGCTTTTGATTATTTAATGAAGATTATATTTGTAGCTCTTTTTACTTATTATTCAGTGACATTTGTAAACTTACAATCAATGAATCCTAAAGTTTTTTTTTATTTAACTTATTGTTTTCTAGCATCAATATATTGTCCGACCTTTTTTGCAAAACTATCTTAAAGATGAACCCTTTTATAAGGTTTGCACAAAACTCCCGAACTCTCAGAGACGGACTTGCTCCATTGATATGTATCATAACCTATTGAGTAGAAAGCAATGTAAGAGTTTTACTTTCAAGTGTGCATGAAGGACATCAGAAGAATCAAGATGATATAGATCAATCATGTGAACCCGGATTAATTGAACATTAATGGTGGCACTCCAGATGCGACCAGTGTGAGCGAGAGCAAATAGTGTAAGCAAATTTGTACCCATCATGTCATGCGCGTAGAGTTTGGTAAGACGTCACTTTTGTAACTTTAACATTGATGCCTCTAAAATTTTGTTTGAGTTGAATTTATTTCTTCTATAAAAACAAATTTGAGTATTACAATATTATTATCTAAACTACATATTAATTAAATTAACCGTTTTTGTCAATCAAAAAGGTAGAAAGATATTTTTATCTTCTATCACAACAAAAAAATTAAGGATAGTAATGTAATTTTACAAAACAAAATTTTGCTGTTTTTTGTTTAAGCCTCACTTACCAGTAATTTTATCATCTCTAATTTAAAAAAATTAAAAAAAAAATCTCTCTTCCTACTCCTATGTTCTTTCTCACTATCTTCCTCTGTTCTCCAATTTTAAACACAAAAGTAATAAAATTTCACACACTTTATGTGTGGGCTTATACCAGTTAACTCTGAAAAAAGTCATCATGCACTCTTCTATTTTTTTTATTTTTTTATTTTACCAAGTAGAAATAAATAATCATTTCTTTGAAGCATCGATCATAATTTCCGACTTTCGTAACTAGTTTAAGATATTGTTTGAGCATTATTTCAGATGAATCGAAGCTCAAATGAGCAAAAGACTTAGCAAACACAAAATGTATTGAACCAAATTGGTATCCTATGTGTGAAAAATGCAAAACTATCTCCCTCTCCCAATTTTTTTTTTGTGGGGCTAAGGTACCATGTGCGCATCACTTTCTTATTCATCATGTTTTGTCACATGCATTGTATCCCCACCATTCTTTCCCTGTGCTTTCACCACACTAGAGCGTCATTCCGTTAAGTGAGATCGGCTGTATGTATCCTAAAACGTTACGGCGCTCGGTTTTGCACTAAGTCTTTTGTTAGTTCCAAGTACTCTATATATTTTCTTACAATCTCTTTCAAAGTCTTCCTAAGTTTTCCTCTACCCTTTTTGCCCTAAGCCTTCACCTCATAGTCGCATCTTCTAAGTGGAGTCTGTAGATTTTTGGCCACTAGTACTACAGGCTACTCATATTACTTTTTACATGTAAGTAGAAAACCTTAAGTTTGACTCTTACAAATAACAAATTCGATACGATAGCTGACTCAATGCGCAACTTAGCACAACCCATTTTCTTACAATTAATATTATTGTATGGAAAAAAAAAAAAAAAAAAAGCCAACAGAAATCTAAGGACACCATCCTATTCCCAAAAGAAATTCACCATTCCAATTCTTCCACATAATCCTAGTCTATACAGCTAGCACCTAACCCTTTCAATCCTTCATTCCTTCCCCACCACTTCCACTACATACCAAAAACACCTCCACACCATTCATCACTCCTCCATCTAACAATTCCAGTAAGCCACCTACCCTTTTTATTATTAGGCAGACAATTTTAAAACATCTTTTTCTTTTCCCCTTTTCCTTTTGTGATTAATTGGTTGAGTTCTTATCAAAGCTCTTTGATATACTCTCTTGTGCATCTTTGTTAAACAGTTTAAGGTTATGTATAAAGCCAACTTTCTATCACATAGTCACAAAGGCATGATTAGTTAGTCCAAATTATGAAGGAAATACATCATGTGTGCATTTACAGGCATATATATATATGAGGGACTAGCTAATCCCACCTTCAAAAGCGTCATTTACAAATTCTTTTACATGTCTTTGTAATGCTCTATATATGGCGCATCTCCTGATCCCTTGTAATTCAACATTTTGTAATCATTTTCTTTATACTTTTTGGCTCTGGATCCCACGACTTTAAAATCCATAACCAAACATAGACTACCCACTTTAATTATTTCGTCAATTTAGATGCCAAAACCCAATTATTTGAGTGTACGAATCAGATTCCCAAAGCCTGCTTACTTGTCAACCAAAAAAAAAAAATGAAGGGTAAACAAAATAGTCTAGCATGCAGTTTCTATGATACGTCTGTTGTTAGATTGTAAATCTAAATTATTGATTGATATGACAACATAAACAGTTTATGTTATCGGTATGTGAATCTCAATTATTGATTCTTTTTGTTTATTTTTTTAATTACAACATAATTTCTGGTAATTGAAGTGATCGATATATATAATGTGTGCCTACGCTTAGGAATGTAGATTGTAGAGTGAACTAATTAAGAGTTGGAAAAACAAACGAGAATGAGGGTGTCTCACTTTATTCGTCTAGTCATCATGAAGATGCTACAAAAGAAGAGCTGCTATTAAGTACATATCCAACAAATTGTGTCCTCCAAACTTCATCACCCTCCTCTCACAAATCATCATAACACGGAGCTCCCAAAAATCGTAAAAATAAAAATAAAAAATCAACCCAAAATAAAATTATTAAGAAAAAAGGTAAAGAAATGTTTGAAAGAAGAAATCAGGACAACAAAGAATACACATGATGATGATGATGATGATCATATACCAGCTCTAGTCTACATAAAATTCAAACGAACGAGGGCCTTTTTGTAATTAAACAAGTAGTGCAAGTCCACCCAAGAATGCCACCAAGGCCATGCTACTTCCATGCACAAAAGAACCTGAGGCTGGAGTGGATCCGACTGGAGTTGGGGTTGGTGGCTCTCCAATGGAGGGTCCTGGCGGCGGTGCAGGTGGCGAGTTCGTAGATGGCCCTGGGCTTTCTGAGGCACCCACTGGGCTTGGACTTGATGGGACTTCGGCCGGGGAAGCCGCCATTGGAGGCGGCATAACTGGGCTGCTGGCCTCAGCGGGCGGTGTCGCCTCCACGCTTGGCGGCATAACTGGGCTGCTGGCCTCAGCGGGCGGTGTCGCCTCCATGCTTGGCGGCATAACTGGGGTGGTGGAAGGAGGAGTTTCTGTGGTCATGGGCGTTGGTGCCATCATAGGCGGCGGTGTCATCATAGACATTGGCGATGGTGCCATCATAGTCATCGGCGGCGGTGCCTTGGTGGTGGGCGTTGAAGGAGCGGAATATGTCGGTGCTGAGGATGGCCCTTGAGCAATGGACAATGCTACGAAAGCAAGTGACACTGTGAGGAAAAGCATGGCACGTGTGAGGGCCATGGCTCTGTGAGAGCTGAGAGCCACAGAGGGGGAGAGTTAGGATTTGGCTGAGGAAGAGGTGAGACAGAGTGGGAATTATGTGAGGAATAGGGGTTGGAGATATATAGAGTAAAGGAGTAATATAGAATCCTTTTAGTGGCAAGCATTTGAGTGCTTAGAATTTCATGCTATAATTAAGGGCAGCTGGTTGACACCTACACATGGAGAATGACTTTTGTTTTTTTTTTTTTTTTTTTGGGTGGTTTGGCCCATATTCTACAAAGCGAATCGATTTGATTCTGTAGCTAAAATAAGTATTTCGTTTAATAATTATCTCGTTTTTATTTTTTATTTTTGGTGTTAGAAGTAGAAGAAAAATATGTAAGGAAATTAGGAATCTAAAATGATGAAAACAATTCATATGATTCTTTTCAGTTTTTATTTTGTATTTCATTACATAATACTACTTTCGCCTTTCCCCATTTCTCATTTCTTCAACGTGTTTTTCCTTTATTTATTGCACAAAATATGAAAACCAAATAACGAATAGTTATCATACTTAACGTACTCTTGTCGTTTAGAACATATCCAAATATAGTACTTACAAATTATGCTGACAAGATACAATGTATTCTTAGAGTTAGAAGAGTCAAACCATTAAAATCTACGTGTTGCAGTCGGTGTTAAGTTAGAATATCTCCTAAATAAAAAGAAATAGTGAATCACTTTGGCATGCTTCATTTACTCAACAGAAAAATACTTTTACCATAAGCACATTAAGTAAAAGGAAAATTAATGAAAAATGTTTGAAAATTTTAAGTTTTAACAATAAGGACAAAATAAAAGGTAAAGTGAATAATACAAGTTTGATTTTTTAAAGTAAAAATATAGTTTTTCGTTAAAGTGAATAGTACTACAGACTTTTCGTTAAAACTCTTTTAAATAAAAGCATGAAAGTGCTATTCAACTACCTGTGGCAGGAACAATTTTTCATGACTGATGATAAAGAAAGAGACTGCAGACAGAGAGAGGAAGCTGCACAATGGTTTTGTGGCGGACGTTGAATGTATTAATTTTTTCTTTTTTCATTTTTTTTAATTTGTTTCCACTTATTCGATGGGTGACCCTGAAATCGTAAGTATTTTCGGCACACTTTTAAAAATCTCTATTTAGCGTTGCTTGTATACCATTTAGGTACTAGGCGATCGATCACCTTTTCGATTAATTCCCAAGTATTTGAATATTAAAAAAATATGCTTATACCTATTTAAGTGTTGCCTTGCTCACTTAGACTTGTCTATGCACCCGTTCAAGTCGTGATTATTATTTAGACAAAAAATTGATAACTTTCATTTTATATTTATATTTTTCAATAAAGTGTAAGAAAATTGTTGAATACTTTGACAAACACTCATATATGTTTGTTTCCCATGTTTTCGATATATTCTCACATTTTATAATCCATATGTAATTTTATTTTACAATATATATATCTAATACAATTATATGTTTTTTTTAAGTGTAAATAGGCAATTATTTATATGATATATAATTAATTTTCTTAAATTCATTTGGTCCGTCTAGTTTTCCATCTGACCACCTAAGCACAAGCGCTAAACTCTAACTTGTCACCTGATTAGCGCTTATTCTTTTTTAGAACCTTGATCAATGGGACTTCGTCCTGCGCACTACGTTAATGGAAATTACACTTTTCTTTGCACAACTGGAAGACTTGCTGGGTTGCACATAGGATTTCCTAACCTTTGGCCCACCGAACTGGCACGGGAATCACAGTGACAAAAGCAGCCCACCAGCATACAATAATCATAATTTTAGGAAACCCTACAGTTTAGTGGAATTGATTGATGATTAGTTACAGTATCTACTGACCTGCAATAAGCTCGTAACTATTTAATCCTGCATGCGTATAAATCAAATTATGTTATGTTTTCATAATACCAAAGTTGTTATTTAAGTAAATATGTGTAAGTCTCAATTTACTTGACAAAATAATGTCTGCATTAATTAATCAACCCTATTATTTCAAGGGTTTTTTTTCGTTGGCTTTTTGTACGTAAGTATTTTGTAACTTTGAAGAAAAACGCTTCAAACTAAATATAAGTTTTAAGTAGTAATTGATCTTAGTTGGAGAAAGAAAAACCCCAGTTGATTTTGTAGGCGAGAAAATATTTTACAACTAAGAATCAGTAAAACAACAAGAAGGTGAGATGATGGGGTTTTGACATTTTGTTCACCAATTATATTCTTAAAGTAGTAACTTTACTTACAGTTGTCCGGTTGTTTTTTTCCTTCTAATTTACTATTTTTACTCCTCATCCTATTCCTTAGACCCGTCAATTTTTTACATGATTTATTAATACAACATGTAAACAATACAAGGATAATGGATTTTGGATCGACACGATAACTAATTAAGTCACACGATAAGAACCCGTTAATAATATGTCACATCCCGGCCCGGGGGGACCACTTCCTGGGCCTGCTCCACCACTGTAGCACGATATTGTCCGCTTTGGGCTTACCATTCCCTCACGGTTTTATTTTTGGGAACTCACGAGCAACTTCCCAGTGGGTCACCCATCATGGGATTGCTCGCCCCCTTCTTGCTTAACTTCGGAGTTCCTACGGAACTCGAAACCAGTGAGCTCCCAAAATGCCTCGTGCTAGGTAGGGAGGGGAATATACATTTAAGGATCACTCCCCTGGGCGATGTGGGATGTCACAATCCACCCCCCCTTAGGGACCCGACGTCCTCGTCTGCACACACGCGACTAGGGTTAGGCTCTGATACCAAATTGTCACATCCCGACCCGGGGGGGACCACTTCCCGGGCCCGCTCCACCATCGTAGCACGATATTGTCCGCTTTGGGCTTACCATTCCCTCACGGTTTTGTTTTTGGGAACTCACGAGCAACTTCCCAGTGGGTCACCCATCATGGGATTGCTCTAGCCCCCTTCTCGCTTAACTTCGGAGTTCCGACGGAACTCGAAGCCAGTGAGCTCCCAAAAGGCCTCGTGCTAGGTAGGGATGAGAATATACATTTAAGGATCACTCCCCTGGGCGATGTGGGATGTCACATAATAAGTCCTTAACAGGTTTACACGAGGTGATACGCGGATAACCTATTCGACACGTTAAGGAAAATGTTATTTTGATGATTTTTAAATGTTTAAACTACTAAAAAAACTTACTATAAAATACAATAGTCATAGTGTATATGTATATATTGTTTATCAAATATACGTTATTGTATTGTTATTCCTTTTAAATTTAAAAAATTCAAGTTTTGTTTATTTATTTATTTTTATAGTATACTATGAGAGTTCAAAAATTATAAAATACATTAAAAATAAAAATATCAAATAATTTTAAAATACTAAATACATTAAAAAAAATTATAATAATTAATTTACAAGTGCAAAAAAAGTGAAAAAATAGGCAAATGCTTGTGAATAAATAAAATTCATAATCATTAATGTACAAGTCTGAAAAATGTGAAAACATGTATAAACTCTCGTGATTGCATCGTCAACTTTGAAACGCAACTCCCTTCATTTTGCATATCCTTGAACATTTGGTATTTTGTAATAATGTAGTAATGTTTTTTCATTACACTGTTATTTTGGGTATGTAAAACTTGAAAGACAAATGTTTTTTTTTTTTAATGTTTTGAAGTAATATTTATGTGACAATATAGTATGCATATACTAATTTAGTATTATGGTTTCCATTTTTTTGGTCAAATTTTATTTTTCATTTCATTATTTATTGATTTAAAATATATTTTTCTTAACAGGGTAACAGGTAACAGGTCGGATCATATTACCTGATAATATTAATTGGTCGATTTCAAGTCGGGTCATATTACACGTTTACTTTAACGAGAGTTACACGATACGACCTGTTAAGATATCGGGTATGTCACGAAAACGACACGAACACGGAAAACACAGCACGAATGTCATGTCTACTATCCCTTCTTTCCATGCTCTCACTTTTCTCTTTTTAAATTGGTTTTTTATTCAAAATTGTCTCTGAGTTTGTCCACCGTAAATTATTTTAGTCATTTTGTGAAAGGTCCGTCAATATCATCATTAAATTATCACATCAACGACCATGTGACCACCTTTTTAAGGGTATTTTTGTCAAACCAACCCCTCTACTTAACGAGTATATTGACATATTTTTCATAGAAGGACCAAAATGATTTACGGTAGAATAACTCAGGGATCATTTCCATCGATTTTCATTGTCAAGAACCATAGTGAGGATTTATGTGAATCTCATGAATCATTTTGGCCAAAAAAACCTTTAAATTAGGTCTCCTATTTTCAACTTTGGAGAGCTTTATCTTAGTATAGACAGGCTCATATCATCGACCAAAATTCATAATCGTTGAATTTAATCATTAAATCCTTAGCTAAAAATTCAATAACAATTTATCTACATGTATAACCAGCTTATTTGAGAATTTTCACCCATTATATATTGCCTTAAAAGAAGTAAATTCTTAACTATGGCCAATTACTACTTTAAAGCAACAACTGAAATTATTTCATTCCATCAAAAGACTTAGAGATAGTCAAGTCAACAAACCTAATTAAAAGACAAATCATTCACATGTTTACAAACTTTTTCTTGGTGATGATTGCCATGGGAGCTTTATCACCTGTACAAATCAAAACCCGTCCACTTGCTCCACCTTTGCCCCAGTTGTAGCCGTGAAGGAGAGGCTGCAAGTACAGTGATATGTGGTTACAATTTTTGCCACAAGAACCAAGTCACCGGTCGCTAGATATGTAGCCGTAGACCTTGTGATGCAATGCCTGTAGCTAGCATGTTTGTTTGTGTGTTCGAGCGCGTGGAAGGTGAAAATAGGTAGAAACTTCGTCACTGCGAAACATGATGAGCAGCAGGTATTGTCTAGTTAGAA